CGCAGTTCAGTCTTGGTAGGTTGTATGTTTCTAGGAATCTATCCATTTATTACAGGTTGTCCAAATTGTTGGTCTATAACTGTTCATGGTAGTCTCTTATGATCCTTTTTAGTTCTGTGCTATCAGTTGCAATGTCATCTCTTTCATTTCTGATTTTATTTTAGTTATTTCAACAGTTATTTCTAGAAGTTGCTAGTTAGTTTTTCTATAAAACACATTTTCCCTATAGCTGCCCTGTCTAGGAACCACTTGAGCAGCAGTCTTGGTAATTTATTCAAGAGGACAAGCCTGTTTGCCAGATCATTTCACGTGAAAGTCCATGAACAGGAAATTTAAATGTATCATCACAATGACAGAGAACTTCTGAGAAACACCCTCAGGTACATGCACAGCTATATGGTCAGAGATGTTATGTGGGATTCAGTCAAGCATTACGTGCAAATATGCTTTGAAAAGTGTGGCCCCACTGCATTATGTGTAAGAATTTGTTAATTACAATAATCTGGAAATTTATTGATAGAAATAGAAGAAGAACCATTTCTCAAATAACATTCAATTTATAGTTAGCAAATCAATATGCTATAGCCCAGCATGATTTAGGAACAATTAAATTTACAGTACTTTGCTTAACACAAGTGAAAGGTTCATATTACTCATCCCTGTTTGCCTGAGGCCCCAGGGCAAACACATCTCTGCTAATAACTGGGCAGTGACTCGCAAAAAGAGAATAGAAACAGGAGCCTTCAGGCTGTACTAAAACATAGCTGAGACTGTTCCAAGGACAAGCAATCAAGCCCTAGGTCTACCAACAGCTCCGCACGAAGGTTAGAGAACCACCCTGCCTCCTTAACTTACTTATTTTACATCTCTTGTCTCTAGGTCTATCCTTAATAAATCTGCTGCTCTCTTTTCCCCACAGGCTATTCCAGGGCATCTTTGGTATCCAAAGATTTGGTGACCAAAAGGAATTTAAAGATTCGCAGACATCTAAGTGATCCATCTGAAAACATTTAACTGAAGTAAATCAATTAAAAATGGCATCACCTGCACAAAAACAAATCTACCATCTGCATCATTCATGGCATTTGTTGTGTGCTTGCTGCATTGATTTAAATATAACAGCACTGATATCGATGAAACAGTATCAATTTGCAGGTTACTGTGGAAGTTAAGTACCTGGCTTTTGAATTTATCTATCTTGAGATAAATAACATAATTGTTCAGGGGGTCAGTTTGCCCCACTGTGAAAGACATTATTTTGTTTATCTTCCTATCCCCTCATAGAAAAAACCATTTTTGACCAAAATCTTTAACTTTGGAGGAAAATAACACATTTATCAAAGGGTATTGACCCATCCTTAGCATACACAGCTGTGAATGCTAAAAGAACCAGGCTATGAGAACAGTCTGTGACATCCACATGTGACATCTGTTTCTCCTACTGATTGCCAAGGTCAATTTCCTCATTCTGGCCAACTAGGTAGGTGCCCCCTTTCCTCGCATACAATTCCTGGAGCTAGAAGTTAGAATGAGGAAGACTTTCTCAAAAGCGCAGGAGTGCCTCTCTGATAAATATTTGAGAGTGGTTGCATTTTCCTTCTCTACAAGAAGAAAATCAATACTATATAACCACAGCGTGTTACAAATACATACTGATATCTGGGGCGCCTGGGTAGCTTAGTCGGTTAAGCGTCCGATTTTCGCTTAGGTCATGATCTCACGGTTCGTGGCTTCGAGCCCCGTGTCGGGCTCTGTGTTGACTGCCAGCTCAGAGCCTGGAGCCTGTTTCAGTCTGTGACTCCCTCTCTCTCTGACCCTCCCGTGCTCACGCTGTCTCTCTCAATCTCTCTCCTGGAAATAAATAAAGCATTAAAAAAAAAAAACAAATATATACTGATATCTCACACTAAAACAAACTAAAATAAAGTATAAAGGGGTCAAAGAGCTTTCTTCCATCTTTGCTAAAAAAATAAATTTAGAATCACTCCCTTAACTCCATTCAACACTCATCCCTTCCATTGTCCAACTTATTCTCCATCTCCTCTCAAAATGGAAAAATTCGTCAAAAAATATTAATTACAAAGGTCTCATTCCGAAGCATCCTTCTTGTTCTCAGGGGCTGATTTTCCAGGCTGATTTGACCCAGTGTCTAGGACACACCAAGGCAGGGACTCAACAAACACTATTTGATAAGTTAGCCGACTCCCCATGCTTCCACGAGAACCGGTGACGAGGCAGGGCAGGGCCGGCTAAATGAGAGAAGGGAAGAAAGAGTATTTGCTAACTGGAGATCCAAACAACGACACTAGCAAAAATCCCAGCACTATACAGTAATAAAAGCTATTTCTAGATCTGAGAGAAGAGTCAACTGGCCAACTCAAGAGTGTTCAGTACCACAACAACAGCAACCACTACTTACCGAACATTTAACTCTGTGCCATTTATACATACTATGTCACTTAGTACCTTGGCAGGTACAAGCACTATTCTTATTCTTATTTTGCCGATAAGAAGACTGTATTAGTTATCTATTACTGAATAACAAACTATTCCCAAAACACAGCAACTTAAAACAGCAAATGTATTATTTCATACAGTTTATGAGGGTCAGAAATCTAGTTGGAAGCTGGCTGTCACAAAATTGATTCACAAAGAGTAAGGCTGTACTAGAGAAATCAAGATTTACACCCAGAGATGGTTATTCTATTTGGAGCCCTAAGTGCTTCAGAACCACTAAGCTATTACGGAGCCAAAATGGAGGACAACATGCAGACTCAGCAGATCCCCCTTCTTATTTGAAAGCCCACCACATATTGCCTTCAATCTGGGAGTTTCTGCTCCATTTGACTCCAGCGTGGCTGAAGTCTTATCAGCACACAGCGTACTTTAGTGCAGGACTCTCAGTCTGTTCGCTTCTTCTTCCTTCCCCCAGTGCTGAGATATTAGGAGTTCTGTCCAAAACCAAGTCTTTGTCCAAACACAAAGATTTGGGATGGAGCATAGGACGCAACTCAGAGGTTGTACTAACTTGGCAGGTTTAAATTGTAAAACAGAATGTGGTTTTCTTAAGGTCTCTTGCAGTTCCCCTCCTTGAAAATAAATTCACATGCTCACTTCAGCTAAACATAAAGGGAAGAAATAAGTTTTCAGTGACTTTCTAAAAGATTGCTAGCCGTATTTCTTTAACAGACCTTCATTTCCTGGATTAGACACTAAGGAACTTATGTTATCATTCTATTTTATTTATTCTATGCATTTGTGGATTACAGAGTAGATCATGTTAAGTATAATGTTTTGAAAGGACCCTTCAGAGAAAGAACTAAATGAATTTTCCCATCTATTCTTAATATTCCCCCTACTGAACGCAGACAGCAACAGGAAAATTCAAAGCTATTATTTTTAATGTCAAATGCCTTACTAGCCCAATAAAAAGGGGAAAGATATTAAACTTTTTATACAACAAGAACCAGATAGCACATATCTTCAAGAAACACATCTTAATCAAATTGAACATAGGAAATTAAAAAGAGGGTGGATGACTGAAGGTATCCATCCTCATTTAATTAAAAAAAAAAAAAAAAAAAAAGAACCCTGGCAATTCTTATGAACAAGAGAGCATGTATTTTTTGCCTTTGTTCCTTTCAGAGGAATAGTGTGGATTAATTTGGGTTCAGAAGGTTCTGAAAAACCTGAGAAATTGCTGTACACATTGTCCTCAGATGAAAAAGAAATATCCCCTGTTTTAGACAAGCCCATGTATGTCAGGAAGCGACACGAGTGAGTGGGAGGCATGGACTTCAGACTCACCCCTATAGCCTAGACCAAGGGGATTGAAATGCCTTTCTGCTGACCTCACAGAGTGGCTATAAACTTCAGATGAGATACCTCATTTAAAGCCTGCTGACAAACAAAGGCCCTATGCAAGTACAAGATGGAAAGAGCAGTGGTGTGCTTGCTAAGGTTATCTATGTAAAATACTCAAAAACTGGGCTAAAACTAATGAAGCCAACTAGCATACCATGAGAAAAATCATAATAGCAATGCATGGAGTACTCACTATCAATAAGGCACAGTGTGTTAGTGTATTTATTCCTCACAACAAACCCGAACACTAAGTTCAGTTCCACTATACAGATGAGACAACAGGGTCCAAAATGTTAAGCAGCCTCCTCAAGATCCTACAGCTTGAGATCATGCAGCAGGGACAGGGGCTGAGTTCGAATGCAGACGCATCTGATTCCCAGCTGTGGTGTTAGTCTACAGGCACTTTGTTCTCGGGAGCTGAGAATCACCCCTCTCATATTCAGAACATGGAGGCCAAAGAAGCCTCACTGTGTGAATGCATCCGCAGACACATGCCACACCCTCACATACATGTGGAGACTTTACATTACGTTCTGAGACTCAGAAACACTCCTCAACATGAACTGTGGTTTGATTACATTCTTATAAAGCTGAGCCAGGTTTGAAAATATATAGACACATACATCCAGTTTTCTCTTCACACCAGAGCATCAGCAGAGAAGAATTCAAATAAAAATGCTACTGGTTTGACATATGTCTTCTCTTGTTTGGGCTGCTATAACAAAAATGTCATAAACTGGGGGCTTACAAACAACTGACATTTTTTTAAAAATTTTTTTAAAGTTTATTTTTGAGAGACAAAGACAGAATGTGAGCAGGAGATGGGCAGAGACAGGGAGAGACATAGAATCTGAAGCAGGCTCCAGGCTCTGAGCTGTCAGCACAGAGCCCGACACGGGGCTCGAACTCACAATCTGTAAGATCACAACCTGAGCTCAAGCTGGATGCTTAACGGACTAAGCCATCCAGGCACCTGGAGAGATTTATATCTCACATGTCTGGATGCCAGGAAGTCCAGGCACCAGCAGATTCAATATCTGGCCACTTCCTGGTTCATAGATGGCCATTCTCATTGTGACCTCACATGGCTTAAGGGTGAGGGAGTTCTGTGACCTCTCTTATAGGGATGAGTCTTGCCTAGAGATCAGCTTCAGCCTGGTCCCAAGGGGAGTTCTGGCCCACCATTGCACTGCAGTGTTGGGGGCCCTCTGGGGCAAGGGGATGACCAATCGCCCTGGTTTGCCTTGGATCGAGGAGTTTCCAGACACATGGGACGTTCAGCATTAAAAGTAAGACAGTCCTGGGCAAAGCAGGATTTTAGTCACTTATGAGACACTCGGTATTGGCCCCAACCTGGAGATGAGGGAGAGACTTCCGGGTGAGGCAGACACATCCCTTCTCCTGAGAAGGGAACACTGTAAGTGTCAGAGGCCTAATGAAAAGTGGGGGATGGGCTCGCCAGCCTCAAGGGGAATCTCTAGAAGACACAGGAGCACTTGCCTAGACCCCCAACTGGTATGGTCCCTTTCAATTCCACATCCTGGCTCTTATATGAGCATATGTGTCCACTATGTTTACAGATCAAAAGCCACAGCCGAGTTCCTCGTTAAAATGAAAAGGTTAAATTATCAACAATAATTCATCCCTTCATTTTTTTTTCCTCTTTCCCTTTTGTATAAGACAAAAAGAAGACAGACTATAAAGCGTGAAAGTTAAATCGGATGTTTTGCAATATTTCTGAGGTAACCTAAACTCTCTAGACAAAATCTCAAACAGCATTTGTCGGCCCAACAAGCTAGTGGGAGATGCAGGCTGTGGAGTCGGTGGAAATGCACTCCTCCTCTGTGCTTAGTCTCTCCAGGTCAGTTTCTTCATCTGAAAATGGGGCACAAATCCTAGCCTCACAGGAGAGTTCAGAGGACTCAACACAAAGTAAAATACATGTGCCGCAAGCAGTGGCTTTTACTAATAAATGCTGAACAGAATGTGAAAGCTTGATTTCTAAATCGGTGTTGTGAAGTGTGATGAGAGAGACTTTCACTAATTAAAATCTAGGTGGTGGCCAACACAGAGTTCTCCATCTGCAGAAAATGTAGAGCTTCCCATTCATCCTGGAGGGCTCTTGAATGGCCACCCAAAAAAGATTTATATCTTGGACTTTTATCAAGTGATTCTAAAATATTAACTAGAGTAATTACTTTAGAGAAAGCCAAAGGCCATTACAAAACTTTTAAACCCAAAGTGAATGCCGACTCATGGGACTTTATTACCAGAGTGCGTTTGCATGTGTGGTGGGGGTGTGTTTAAGTGGGACTACGGTATCAAGTTTGATTGGGGAGCAGGAATGAGGGAGCTAATGTGATTCCAGCTGCATTTCAACCAGGCTCTTTGCACTGTGAGCATGTTCAGTAACTGCACTTACACATAAATGGGTTTAGCCTTGTAATTCAAATAATTGCTTTAGTATTTTCAGTACCAACCATGTATGAAAGCTCTATATAAAAGCTGTAGAAAATTCCCAGGGGAAGGAAAGTATCTATAGATCGGCCTATGAAACTGTATACCATCTCCACTTTCCTTCCCCTTATAAGGGAAAATAACAGATAGGCTAAATAATACCCATTTCATGGTTTGTCAGAATAAAATGAGATCATTATGTCAAAACCTCTGGTAAACCATAGAGGCGCTTATCAAAGAAGGTTTGACTATCCTAAGTATTATGAAATTCAGAGGACGGTTACACACACACACACACACACACACACACATTACAGCCAAATGTGCAAACCACAGAGTAGGAGGGGAGGCTGGTTCTTCTCAGCTTTTTGACAGGCAGGCAAATTTCCTCCCCCAAAATAAACTAGTTTGAGATGGAACTGCAAAGATTTGGCAAATGTAAATACCCACTGGTTAACTAGAAGTGAATTATAAACAATACCTACTCAGGGTTACAAGCATTAATGGGGTTAAGTAGAATTTCACACTTGAGGAATTTCATATGCTCAATCTTGACCCAGCTTCAGAAAATATGTGGCTTTACTGTAAAATGCCCTAGAGATTCAAGAGGCATGCTGTTAGTTTGTGGGCAAGAAGCAGCAGAATTTAAATCAGGATGGAAAATTAAACACATGGCACTCTCCCCTGGCCTTCTGTTTCTCTCTAGGTGGGAAAGAATCTTACATGACTTCTCCTTCCCCCTAACCCTCATTTCTAGCAAGTCTCCAGCCTGGTTCAACCTCAGAGGTTTTTTTCTGGCCACTCCTTCCTCTCTGTCCCACCCACTGCCTCAGTGGCTCAACACCTGGACATTCTGCTGCACCCCTTCTTTCCAGACTTAAGTCCTGGAGAATTCCCCAGCCACAGTCTTTCCCAAAGGAACTCATCTTTCTGTCTGCCACCAGATCGATTCTCCTAAAAGAGGGATTCCAGAGGCCCACCAAAGTCTCCAAGAAAATCAGAAGTTCAATGGTAAAATCAGTTTGGGAAATGCCACTCATATCTCTTTCTTGGAGCATCACTTTTGCAAATTAAAGGCTCTGATAAGTCTTGGAGTAAAGGTACTAGTTTCACTTTATTTAACCCAGATTCTTTCAACTGAGTAATATAACCAAAACCCCTATGAGATAAGCGCTATTATGAGGTTTCTAGTTTACAGATGATGGGACCAAGACCATACAAGGTTAGATAACTCACAAAGGTCACCCAGTACTGAATGCCAGAGCTGAAGTTCAGACCAGACTGACTCCAAAGCGAAATGCTTCTGGTATCCTACAGCACTACAAATTGGGAAACAATCTCTTGAAGTTTCTGCTATCCCAGGCTTCTAATCAAAGATTTCCACCAAGTCTCCCTACATACAATTTATATGCTTAACTTAGAGAGCCTTGCTACTCAAAGGGCCCCCTTGCTACCGGGGCCAGCAGCAGTGGTCTCCTCTGGCAGCTCGTCAGATGCAGAGTTGCAGCACCCTGACCCCAACTACCACCAGCTCTACTGAGTCAGATTCCACACCTAACGCAGAATCCCATTTGCAGAGCACCACCCTGAAGAGGTGCAAGTCTTCAGAGCATAAGGTAATCTGAACTTACTATTCTTCCACAAACTATGTTTCCTGGACTCACCAATCAGCTGGATGGTACAACTGGGTGGTATCAGTCAGCAAATGGTATCTCTCTGACTTAGCCCCCACCACTCTTACTTACTCCTCAAAGTCCTCCCAGATAGTTCTGGGACTTCCCTGCGGGTGTCTCACATGTGCCCTAAAGTCTACTAGCCACTATTTTCCTCCCTTCTCATTCTGTCACCATCTTTATTCTTTGCCGACACCAAGCTGGCAACCATGCCACCAGGGGCTGCCAGCAACAGTGTCCGTCCTGATGCATCTGACGTTGGGCCAGGCTGACCGATGCAGTGGTGCAGGGCATGGAGGGGCTGCCCCACCGAGGCCAGTACTAGCCCCTCAGCTTCTTGTGGACACAGACCATGAACTGTTCTTCCACACGGCACAGCACAGAGCAGAGCCTTCACGCTCAAGGCAGAGGAAGAGGCAGGGCAGAGTGGGACATCCAATGACTGGGACTGAAGGATCCATGGTACAAGATGATTCCTTACGGGGATACCTCAAAAATGCGCATTTCTAAATGCCTTGATTGACAAGAGTATCCTGCACCCGACTCTGCAGAGAAAGGCGTGGCTGTAGTCTGATGTGGGACACAGGCATACGCTCCTTTTGGAAGCAAGATGTGTCCCTGTGGGGAGGACACAGAGAAAGAGAAGGAAAGAAATCTCATGGCCCAACTCAAGACAAGGGCTCAAAGAGGCATGTATGACTCCTGGAAGATTTAGAACTGAAATGACCCAAATTAAGGAGCTAAGTAACAGACGCCTCCAGGCTGAAGAAGGGGACCTAGAGGGGAAAGGCTGGCACAGGAGAAAGACAGTGACAGAGGAGCCGATGCCAAGGAAGCTGGCCAGCGATGGCATGAAATTCCAGAAGATGGGCCGTGATGGCATCTGTCCCCCTTGCTGTCAGAGCAAGGAAGGTGGCCAGGACAGAGAGGGAACTCCAAGGCACCCCACTCCTTACTTCCACAAAGAGGAAGGCGGGTAAGACACAAGACGATGAAAGAGATGTCCGCTGTGTTCGTTCGAGTCCAAAAACAGGACACAGGACAAAGGCTAGAGTTGTCCTGGGCAGCCGCTCGGCCTCACCCACCCACCCACCTGAGCGATCACAGGGCCCAGCTGGGGTTTGTATACCGTCACCCGCTTTTTATCCACCTCCACCACTGCCCTCCTTATCCAGGTACCTCTCACCCTCTGCAATTAAAGAGCCTCCTGTCTGGTCCCCTAATTTTCTCCTGCCTGTCCCCTAATTTATTCTTCACACGGCAGCAGGTCCAACCCTGAAGAGCAGCATGCTGGTGCCTTCACTGTCGTGTGTGACTCCCCAGTGCCCCTGAGATCCTCTAGGCCTGCACAACACCTGAGCAGAGGGCTGCAGGACGTGGCACCTCCGACCACCTGGTCCGCTCGCCATCTCCATGCCATGGCCACTCTTTGGACACGGCTGAGCTTCCCCTGACCTCAGAGGCCACATACGCCATCCTTTATCCTGGACTGCTCTTCCTTGCACACAACCTGTCAGGTCACCCACCCCAGCCTCTCACCTAGGTTCCCTTAAGACCCGGTTTAAATGTCACTTCCTTAGTGACATCATAAATCTCTTAGGACTCCCCAAGACCAAAGAAAAGCCCCTTGCTCTGCCCTCTTACATCCCCCCCAGTGCCCCAAACATTCCTGATAACATGTATCACCAGTGCATAGGGCATATGTTTGGCATTGACTAGGTACTTAACAAATGTCTGTGGAAAAAAGGAATGAAAGGAGGGGAGGGACAGTGGAAGGGAAGAAGAAGGGGCTATTTTCCAGGCATTTGAGACAACCAGGAATTCATTGTTTTTCCTCATTGAACTCCTTAAAGCAGTACTGTCAAACAATTTAAACGGTTAACTAACTTTCATTTGGCATCATCTGTCCTTGGAAAATGGTAAAAGCTGGCAAGACTTTACCGAAGTCAAGATCAGCCAGTATCTGCAGTTCTACAAGTTAAAATATTGTTCATCTAATTCTTGACTGACGCCTAAGTTTTAATTAGGGAGAAAAGCAGTGCTGGGTAGTGATGGCCAAAACTGAAGTCTTAACACCAATTTATCCAAACAAGACTATATGGATCACATCTCCATCTGTTTCCATAAATCACTAAAAATTTAATATTTAGAGAACATGTTACAAGTGTGTGTATATACACACACAAGAATATTTGCCAAGTTAAAACACTATTACTAGGTCCATTTAAAACATTTTCCTTTTTTCTTTCCAATGTAAATTCAGTCGTCCAGTGGAAAAAAATTTTAAGCAGTAAAGAGACACCTCATCTTTGTCTGACTTACATTTCAACTCAGCTCAGCTACACTTCCAGAGACCTTGTCTCAGCAACTTGACGGATGGCACGGGGGATGGGAAGAAGGACACAGAACAACAAAAAACTCCCAGACCTCATTTTACCCTCCTTCCCCAGTCCCCCTAAGAGCTGCAATTAGAGGCTTAATCCATGACCAATACTGATTTCCACCTTATCTTCCCTCTCTGCCCTGTGGTGAGGTGTAAATGAGCAGAGAAATATCAAAAAGCAACATCAGCAGTAGAGAGGAGGTTGGTTAAAGGCTGAGATATTCCATTCACCAGAAACAGAAATCTCGTTGAGCCAGTTGTTCAAAATTTGCCAAACTGACATGTACCCTTCTTTCACTGAGGATACATCTTGCTGACTGCTCTCTTTCTGGATTTCTTGCCCAAGTTCAATATCATAAATGTATCTTAAAGTCTTTGAGGAGCATTTACTGGTTAATTAAAGACAAGTAGGGAGCCTGCGTGGCTCAGTCGGTTAAGTGTTCGAATTTAGCTCAGGTCATGATCTCGAGGTTTGTAGGTTGGAGACCTGCGTTGGGCTGTGCTGACAGCTCAGAGCCTGGAGCCTGCTTCAGATTCTGTGTCTCCCTCTCTCTCTTCCCCTCCCCTGCTCTCTCTCTCTCTCTCTCAAAAATAAATAGAAAGATTGTTAATTAAAAAAGACAGGTAAAGCCACTCTTCTGCTATGGTTTAAACATGTTAACCCATGGATATTCACTGCTAAAGTTCTGATGTGCTCACTATTAGAAAACATGTTATTTGGTTTGTCTCCCTTTCCCTGTCTAGGGTTCTACTAGTCTCAAACTTACAATAGGATCTTGAGCAGGCTAATTGTCAGTTCTTCAATTTCTTCATCTGTAAAATGGGGTAATTCAGTATGACCACACTATTTCAAATGGAACCGTGCCATATTTTCCCAAACATACAGTTTTAATATGGTTCAGAACACAGTCTTGTGATAAAATTAACAAAAATTGGCAAGTACTGGCCCTTTCAGGACTAACTTTAATGAAGAGCTAAGCATAATTGTCAATAGTCATTGTACAGCAATTATTCAATTATTAACAGGTGGTTCACACCTGAAAGAAAATCTTATGTTAAGTAAGTTAAACATTCCCTTAGACTTCGGTATAGGTGATCACTTTGCTCTTCTAACAAATAATGTTCTACCAAGTGGGCTACCAACGTTAACCTAATCTAAGTGCACACATCTATATGATTTTCTTGCACACCTTTCCATTCTTACCCATTCTGCACCAGGAATGCCCAGTATTCATGATCTGTAGGGTTGACAGTGGGAATGAAGACACAGGGGTGATACCATCTGCTGCCAGTGGTTTCACTTTGCTCCCATCTCCTGACACAATGTGACCTCCCCACCACCTTCTTCACAGGCAAAGTATTTACCTCATTATACAGAAACTCTCTTAAGGACGATTTTTCACCACTAAATTAATAAAACAGGGACTCCGTTTGAATCAGAAGACAGAAGCTCTTCTACCTGGTCACAGATTAGTGCTGAAAATCTTATTCCTAAATCCATGTATTCATACACACAGAGGAGCACACTGCTTCCCGTCTTTGTGGTGCCTATGTGTGACCGGCAAAATCACCTGGCAGCAAAGCTGGCCATCTTTTCTTCGGAGATAAATTGGGTTTCCACTTCTCCGGAAGTTCCTAATATTCCGAAGTTTATAAGTAGAGGAGTATCTGAACCCAGAGTCCTATTTTATCAAATTTCCTTGCTCCCAATATTTTGGCAGGTGGAATTTTCCATTATTTCCACATGTGTGTTCTGACAAGTGGTCTTTCCTAAGGGCCCCTCAATCTCTATTGCATTTGATGCTTTGCCTCTGCTGTTTCTACATCCTCTGCCTTTAGACTGATCATTACCTTCAGGCCCACAAAGTGCTAGAAAACAGCATCTGTAGAACCAAAGAGGAACATGTCCTGAGGACTGGCTTATAAATTTAAAAGCAAGATGGACTGACTCTGTGTTCCAAGGGGCTTCTTCCTGGGTTTTTTGTTGTTGTTTTTGTTCTGTTTTCCAGAGAACTTTGGATGAGGTTGTAACAGATGAGTAACCCAGAGATAGTCTGCATTCGTTTTAGAATTAAATTGAGAATTTTGCTAAGAAATAACATCTGTCCCTTAGATATAATGATACTTCCAACAACACTCATTATCTGTGACTGCTTACTATTTGCCAGGCACTGAGCCGAGTGCTTTCCCGACACATATTTAATCCTCAAACCCACCATATAAGATAGATATTATTATTTCCATTTTCAGGTAAAGAAACTGACACTTAGGAAATGAAGTAACTTGCCACGGTGACAGGTGTGATAGAACTAGATCTGTCTAACTCCATCGCATATGCCCCTAATGGACATACCATACTGTCTCCCTGCGGTTGGTTTGGGAAGGTTTTTGTTCATCATTAAGCATGTATTCACCCTCTACTGTGTGCTAGTGCATTAGTCTATCCACAGGTCTTGCTGTCCTTTTCCTCTCTAGTCCCTTATCCGTCCGGCCATCAGAATAGTGTCTCCCAAGGAGTAATTCTGAAACCATTCACATCAGAATCACCTGGACTCCTGTTAGGAATGCAGCTTCCAGACTCACCCTACAGATACAGGATCAGAACCACCTGCACTCTAAATAAACACTCCAGTTGATTCTCCTGCATGCTAAGAGTTGAGAATCAATTCTATCGGGATATAATCTATTCATAATCTTCAAATGGTTTTCCCAAAATGATACAATGCTCATGGCATGCTGAGTCGTGGCCTCACAAAGAGGTTCACATCCCAGTCTCTGAAACCTGTGACTATGTACTTCATAGGCACACAAGGCAAACTTCACAAAGCAAAAGAGACTTTATAGATATGATTAGGTTAAGGATCTTGAGACGGGGAGATTATTATCCTGAATTCCCCAGTTGGGCCTAAGGTGATCACAAGGGTATTAGAAGAGGGAGGCAGGAAGGTCAGAGTCAGAGAAGGTAACGTGACAATGGAACCAGGCATTGGAATGATGGGTGGAGGGTGGCCCACCAGCCTAGGAATGCAGGCAGCCTCTAGAAGCTGGAAAAGGCAAGGAGACAGATTCTTCCCTTGAGCCTCCAGAAGGAATGAGATAGTCTGCCAACCCAATCTAGATTTCTTACCCCCAGGATGTAAGAGAATATATTTATTGCTGTAAGGCACTAAATTTGTGGAGATTTGTTAGAGCAACAATATGTGGCAATCCATTGTTCAAAGCCCTCCCCGGGTCCACAGTGGGCCAACTCCTTCTCACCTCACCTCTCTTACCTCTCATCTCTCCAACTTGAACTTGGTGTTTCAGTCATGCTAAACCACATCCAATTCCAAAAATGTCAAGCTCCTTAATACTGTACTTGGACATTTGCTCCCCCAGACCTTGTCAGCTTGAGGAATACCAGTTTATCCTGGAAAGAAATCCAGATGTCACTCCTTAATACCTAGAGATAGAACCAATATTCTCCTCTGTAATGGAACTTGGATATATATATATATATATATATATATATATATACACTGTTGTACTCATCACATTCTGCTATAAACAAGTGAAGCCCACAGCTACAACCCATTCATCTTTATACTCCCAGGCCCATTCACAGTGCCTGGTCCAGGGTAAATGCCCAATAAAAGTTAGTTGAATTGAACTAAACCCTGAGTAGTTGGCTGGAAATCTACAGATGTATTCCCAAATGCCACCTTTAAAGAAAGCATTTAAGAAAGTCCTATTTTATAACTTCCCTCAGATCCTATATCACTGCTGTTTTCCCATGTATCCTCAGTGACAACAAATTCCCATTCTTTTGAAAGGTTTGGATTTGGGAGGTAAAAAACAAAC